ATCGAAGAGTTCGATCGACGAGACGGGACGGTACGCGACGCGAAGCGAAGCAACGAGCGAAACTCGAAATAAAGTGGTAAGATACGTTCTCGTCGAATCGATCGCGCTCTTCGATTTCCTTCGATTTCCTTCGATTTCCTTCGATTTCATCCAATGTCTCCGTATATTTACAAAACGCCTGCGCGTATCCTGTCGCGGTTCTTCGAAAAATTGATCACGGTCAGGAATCGTTTCTCGTCGCGAGAACCCGTGAGAGGATACGCGACGATTAACAAAAGAACGTGATAAACGCTAAACGATTTCGTTCGCTCGACGAATCGCGCCCGCTCGTTCTCTGCTCTCCTCGTTCTCTTCTTTCGTCGAAACAACGAAAAAGCAAAAAGGAAACCGAACCGATAAGCCGGGAATCGATTAATCGATAAGCCGCGTTTCTCGGACGACTTCTTTCTCGTGGAAACGGCACGAAAATTAATTACCCTGCTACGTCGAGCTTCTTTCTCGGTGTCAAACTATCAATCGCGCGCGCCTTCCTTTCTCCGCTCGCTCTCCCTTTCGTTCTCGCGACGCGAAACGCGAACGATACAGATCCATACGCAAACATTCTCGCCTTTTCTTGTTTCTTCTCTTCTCTTTTCTACGTTTCGATCGAAACCACGGGCTCGAATAGAGCGCCGACGGTCGGACCAGTTGAGCAAATAATCGCGGAAACCGTGTGACACGGATAACGCGCGTAATCCCTTCAGGAAACGTCGACGAAAACGCGTATTCGGCGATTCGTCGATAAGCCTCGAGGAATCGAAGAAACGAAACGAGAGCATGGATTTATTGGAAATGTTCCTGGAGGGAAGCGTCTTCTAGAGAGCCTAACGAGGGCGCGTGTTTAAACGCGAACGCGTGATCAGAGACGGAAAACTAGCGGTCTTTGGAACGTTGTTGAGGAACGTAACCGTACGACGATTTTCCAAAATTTCGCTCCACCGTCGGCCCAGCGTCTCGCGTTAATTTTCCCCTGGAGTAGAGTCGTCGAAAGGATAACGATCCTAATGGAATGGGAGTTCGATGACGGTTTTTTAAAGCTCTGGTTCGTTTGCAACGGACGACAACGCGACGGGAGACGGAACACCGGTTGTCCGGAGAGTTCGGGAAATACATATAGGGGATGACCGCGACCCTTTGTCGCGACAACTTCAACATTCCTGACACGAATTTTACCCTGTAACCGTGCTCGTTCGATCTACGATCGAGTTTCGTTGCTTCGCGCGACGGTAAAAATACCGTGAAAGCGTATACCGGTGAAATTTCAAAAGCGGACAATTTTAAAGGCGAGGATCGAGATCTCCGTTTCGACGAATCATCTTCTTAACGGGCGCGTAGTTACGGTGGATCGAAGGAACGGAAGGAAAGAGTCGACGACTCTTGGAAAAACGCAAATATTTCGATCGCGGATAAAACGTAATGCCGATACGAATCCCGTGGCCAATCGAGGAGCGAGAACGTCGAGAACGAGATCGCGAGAAGCGCGAAAGAAAGTTAATCCGGCTGAAACGTAACGACGGAAGGAGAAAATACGAAGAGAAAGAAAGCGAAGAAGAAGAAGAAGAAGAAGTAGAAGAGAGAGGAGCGCGTTCGCGAATACCCGGTGGCGACGGAAAACGTAACATTCTCGCTCCACGATTAGCCTCCGGGCAACAGAATGATAATAACATTAATAATAGCAATGTTAATAATAATCGCAATAATAAAGAATAATAGTAATAAGTGACAATAAAGGATGACGAATAATATAATTAGCAATTAATAATAAAAATCATCGTAGCAACGACAAATAATAATGACGGATCTATTGTCGTTTACAATAGTTTGCTCGCGGAACGGTGCCTCGACGACGATAAACAATCGCAATAATTATAATATTAGCTACAACCTTTCGACGTCGCTATAAATTTCTCTCTCATGTACATAGACTTTTCTCATTTATATTTTTATATTTATATTCGTTTGTATGTATATATAATATATATCTTTGCATAATATACATATACATATATATACATATATGTATATATGTTTTTCGTGTGTGTACATGCGTGTGTGCCTACGTACAAACATATGTATATGTATATGTATATATATATGTATATATATATATATATTTATATGTTTACATACTTACTCTTTATACAGAAGGGGTTTTTCATCGCGAGGGATTTCCGCTGTCGCTAGGATTCGGCACACATTTTTCCGACACGCGCGAGTTCCCCGTTTAACGCGTGTCTTGTCCCTCATTGCGAATTTGTTTGTCTTTTTGGTCGTTCGCTTCGTCGCGCCGCGCCGTACCCTCCAGATTCCCGTATTATTTGTCCTTGTTCGTGGCTCCTCTCCGACTCCGAGACTCCGAGATCCGTCCGTTCGGTTCGGCGACGTAGGCGACGGCGACGGCGACGGCCGAGGCAACGACGAAGAAAACGACGACGATGCGCGCTCTCTCTCTCTCTCTTTCTCTCACTTAACTTACTAGCTTTATCTAGTACATTATTTACAGTCCATATTTACTTATGTTACATCATCCGGCGGGTTTGCTTCGGACAAAGCCCGCTCGAACACACCGCTGCGCTGTTCGCCTTTGGCTGGGTTCTATTCGCTTTGGTTCGAGCGACCATCCCGTCCGTCCGTCGGGTCTGTGTGTCGACGGCGCACCAGAACGTCCTATCGCACTGGTTTTTCTCTCGTCACCGGCACGCAACGAACAAATCGGCGGATGGACGGACGGATTCGGTTGGCCGTACACGAATTTACGCACTGTCGACACCGGAATATCGCGCGGCCGGATCGCCGGAAGCGGACGAGCGCGCGCGCGGGTC